TCCGCAGCGTGCCGCGGCGACGCGGGCCTGTGTCCGCACAACGGGTCAGCGAGTGACACACAGGGCACAGACAGTTTATTCCTGCCTCCTTCCACCTCAACAGCTGGTTGCCTCATCTAAGAACAAGCAGTATTTCCAAAACAGGGAAAAATCCTAATGCTTTCTTGCCTATAATCACTGATGTAAGTGTGTGGAGTTACTAGGGTTTGCTGTACCTCTGCTGTCAAGAGCATATTATTGACTAATTCCATGTAGGCTTTCATCTCAGCTTTCTGGACTTCATCCAACCCATCACTGAGAGAATGGCCCTAATTGGAAAAAGAAAAATAAAAAAAAGATACACGTGTAAGAAGCATACTGGAATATACAGCAAGTCCTGACCCAAGGACCTCTGAAGTCAGCCAGCTTTGGCTCAGATCCTGATCTCTTACATAGTTTTATAACAAATTACATATGCAATTTTTACATATGGTATCCTTTAGAATGAAAAAGCAATCATGGCAACGTAACACAGCTAATCTACAGAAATGTAGACTATTATCAGTTATAGATGGATGCAGTTTGAGCACAGAGCCTCCTTTGCCAAGAAGAAAACACAAACTTACATCTGTGATACAGCTTTCTCAACTGCTCAGTGAAAAGTTGGCATTTTTTAAAATATAGGGGAGGGCTGGGGCCGGTGGGGAGAAGCAAAGGCAAATTTGAACAGTATGTGATAATGGATTCAGGATTTAAACCAGCCAGTTCTGGGTTTAAGAGCTCTGAGACCCTCAGAAAAACATACTCCGAAACTGGCACTGGTATGCAGCTATCCTGTACAGAATTTACTTACAGAATTGGAGTAAATGACAAAGAAAAACATTTCCACCACAACAAACAACTACTCCCAGATATCTTTCTTTCAAAATAACACTAGATTCCTACACTGTTGTAACAAATTCAGTAACATTCCAGAAGATGCCCAACCAGCACAATGCTAAGCAGGAGTAACAGGCTCTTCACTGGTTGATGAAAACAACGTACTATTACCTTGGCTTTTACAAACTGGACTATGGGCCCAAGTTCAGACACTACTTGATTTCCCACGTGGATAAAGGGTACTTTGCCTGTAAAGTGAGAAATCTATTTTAGTAAGGGCTTTTCATACCTGTGAAACATCATTTACAATTTTCAATGCAATTCAGTATTTCAGGTAGATCTGAACATCACTGTTTTTTTTCAAACGAGCACAGGTAAAGCTCTAGCACACGTAGCTCACCCAGCAAATGTCTGTAATAACAAACGTCTTCTTCCTCCTCCTGGACCTCTTCTACATGCAATACTTGCAATTTTGTATTTCAGTTATTGAGTGAGATCTACCAACTTGTACTTTAATAATGGATTTTGCTTGGCTGGAAAGACTTCATTCAATGTTTCTCTGAAGTACAGCTGGGAAACCCCAGGAAAGCAGACAGAGCCCTTGGCCAGTTTCACGACACAACGCGTTCCCACCCTCCTTTCTAACCCACTGGCAGGGAAAGGGCTGCTGAAAGGATGATGGGAGATGTGGCACTGTGCCCAGGAAAGCAAGCAGGGTAAGAGCAAATGCACACTCAGCAAGGCAGGGTCTTGACTTTCCCTCCTCCAGTCCCTCAGATTTCCAACAACTGGGCCAGCCAGCTCCTGCTGCCTGCCCCAGTCTCCACTCTCTAGTTGTAAACTGGCATTTTTGAGCCCCCATGATCCTGGGGTCAGGAAGAGGTTCTCAGTATAAGACCTACAGCATCACAATCTGGGGGAGGGGAAAGAGGCATGGAGAAAATCTAAAAACAGCCAGTCCTCAGAAGGAGACTGGGAAACAACTGTGTTACTGGTGGAATCTGCGGGGGTGTGATGGGCTCCCGAGTCTGTAAACGTCACAGTCTCTGCCTGGTAAATTTTCTTACACATGGAACTGAGCCAAAGCTTCAAGGCAGACAGAGATGTAAGAGGAAACCCTGTTACACGAAGCAAGCCATGAAGCATGACAGAAGTTGCCTCGTGCCCCTTTCCCAGCTCTTAACATGAAGCTGAGGGCTCCTGCTCTAAACCACCCAAATCAGGTTGCTTGTCCTGCAAATCTCCACCCAAGCACAATTGACAACATCAGTCTCATATCCAAGATACGTCTGTTAGGATTATTTACGCGATTGAAATAATCCACAAAATGCAGACAAATGCTGGATGTTTTTCATTACTGCAGCCATCCTCGAGCCCACAGGCGCTAAATGAGCCTGCCCAGTGCAGTGGGACACAGCACCCTTTTCTCTTCTCACCTCTCACTGTGCACAAACTCTGCTCTCGACAGACAGCCCAAAGAGCAAGATCAGTATCTGCCTGGCTCCAAATAAGTGGTTCAGCAATACATTCACTCTTTTCACTGGAACACAGGAAAACTACTGTTCGGCCTGGCTCCAACACAGTTCATGTTAACAGTGGATTCAGTCGTGGTTTTTATCACGACACTCGCTTCTCACTGGTTCCATCAGCCTAAGGGTGACAAATGAAATGCATCACGCCAACAAAGGCTTCATCTGCATCCACAGGCTGCATGTTGCAGAAGGAAATGCAAGACTCTCCGTGCTGCAGAATTCAGTGGTTTCAGTCAGGCTGTACTTCATACACCAAGACAATCCTTCAGTATCATACTTTTGAATCCCTCAGAATGGGTTTCATCACTTGCGACGACTATGAGATAAACAACCTTCGCCTCAAAATGATGAAATGCAGATCTTTGTCTGCTGCTGTGTGACAGAGGGTAGTGGGGAGAGAGCAGGGAGCAAATGAAAACCTTGTTGGAATTATCATTAAAGAACCAATGCAAAGAAAAGATATAGGGCAAGTGAATAAAAATAAGGACTCCAGGAGTAAGGGCAAAAAATGTCTACCTATGTTCAAAATTTAAGCAGTATCATTTTCCCTCTTGTGCTTCTTGTTTTCAGCAGAAGGAGGTGTTCAGGTCCAAATTTCAACATCAGATGGCAGCAAGGGTAGACATGAGGTGTGAGTGGCAGAGAAGCAAGAGCATGCAACTGCCACCAGTCCTACCGCACAGGCAAGACACTCCTCTGTGCACAGATTCAGCACCCCAAAGCTACCTTAATTTACTAACAAATAATTTATATATTTCCATATTTTGCTGTTATTTTCACTTCTGCCTGTTGGTTTAAAAGTACCATAATTCCACCGCTTTGACCAAAATATCTGTAGCAGCAGCAGAATCCATACAGCTGGCAGACATACAGTGACAGGCAGCCCTCACCCAGAGCCAGGTAATCAGTACGTACACACCTCCTCACACAACAAAAATCTGGGACAGAGTGTGAGGACTGGCAGAATTCTGTGCCCTGCATTCAGCAATTCTCTCTATTTTTAGGTATCCTTCTGAAGCCAGCCTCTGGCAGTTTTTAGGCAACCAGTCATCTCCAGCAAAAGGCAGGCTCTGTACCTTTCTAATAATTTACTGTTGGTGAGTTTGGATTTTTTTTTTTTTTCAGGACAGTCTCATGGATTAGAGGAAGGTTTAAAATCGCCTGTCACCCATAACAGTGACAATGCACTCTTCATTCTCCTGTATCAACACACTGGCAATCATCTCCCAGACAGGGTAACAAAAGATCATCTTTCCCCAGTGTTGTCTCACCCCAACAATGGGAAAATATAACAGCATTCACTGGAGTACTGTCTGGATGGAGAATAAAGCCACTTTCAGAAACCTATGTCTTTCTGCTTCAGGACACAACCACTGTGAGGCATTTGAGGGAAGGCTTCCACCAGGCATCTGAACTGTCTGAACGCTTTAAATAGGTACTGCATTCATGGGCATGGCTATTGTTTGCAGAGGAAAAACTGCACTGGAGAGGAAGGGGGAAGGCAACCCACACACGGCAGCACTGACCGACTGTTATCAGCAAGACAAGGTGTAGTTGCCATGGTATCAAAACAGAGGTATAATGTTGTAATCTAAATGAAGGCCACACTTACCAGATGGGGACATGTACTCAGCATTTGCCCTGCAAACCACCTGGATTGGCAGATTGCACATTTGCAGAAAGGCCTGGAAGCAAAGAGTGGCATTTAAAAAGCATTAATACACCAGCAACAAATACATGTGGTTTTCTCAGTACATTTGACTATGTTTTAGCTAGTTCCTAGCAGACGCTTACACAGTATAGCTCCTCACACACTGCTTTTAGGAAGAGAGAAGAGTAGGTAAAATAAAAATGAAGTTTTTATAACTTCCTTAGACAACACTTATCACCCAGTCATTGACTGGAATTCTTCTAATGAAGTTTCATCTATTTTTACTCTTTTTTTCAAGATGAGCAAAGAAGCAGTATCTGACAGACACAATTAGTGCTGTGGCTGTACAAAATTGACATTTTGCTCCTCCTGAAAATCATAGTACATACTTCTTCCAGCCAACGCTGGCTAACCAAGTGGATGTTGTGTAATATCACAAACACATACAGCACCTTCCCACTTTATAGTTAAAATAGCTGCCAGAAGCTTTACTCCATGATACTGTCAGAGCACAAGTCTGCTCTGGTAGCAAGCGTTTACTATCTGTAATTTATGTGAATCATGGAGAGCGTAAGTGATCGATTTACTGTTTTTGTCTGTAACCTTAGATTCAAAGCTCTCCCAAGAGGACACAGATTTTTGTCAGCACTTGCCATCACCACAAAATCCTCAGTGGGTTTCTGTTAAGATACCAAAATATCAGAAAAGTACTTGCAATTTGGATAGAACACAGCAAATAAGGAACCTCTTAATCTCTAGATATCTCACAACTCAGCTAAGACCTATCATTCATTTTGTCTTTGCAATTGTACAGGTCACAGCTGCAGGTTCCAAAATTATACCTATTTATCCACAATGGCATGAGGTGAAAAAAGTCTACACACCACCATGGCTACCACCATGAAGAAAAATGCTGCTGTAACACAGCAATTGCCACACTAGCCTCCTCCTAGCTCTTCAGCTTACAGGATCTGGCAGTAGACTGCACTGTCACAGCTTTAAATGCTCAGACTCTAATCACAGATGTCAAAGTAACCTAAATCTTAGAGTTTGCTCACCTCTGCACTAAATGAGACTATAAAGCATGAACTAACACATCAGCCCTGTTCCTAACCTCATGCCTTCTGTAGTATCCATCAAACAACCAAAAATAACCCAACCCACCCCTCTTCTCTCTGCTCCACTCTTCAAGTCCTTTATTCCCAAACCCTCACTCAATCCAGAAAAAAAAAAGCCAAGCTTTGGTCCTTTCCCAATCACATCCAAGAACTGCACAAACCATTGTAAGACTTGGCTCTTGCAGGTTTAGATGACCTGGCTCAAATCTAAATCCTAATTTAAAGCAACAAACTATGGTCACAAGCTGCTACACATGGCATTGATTACAGCTGACAAGAGCCTACCTCTGAATTGTGGAGGCTCTGCAAAATCCATGGCTTTCTACATCCTTTGATTTCCTCACCACAACTGACTTAAAGCACTGCTTGCAAGCCTACTACTATATACACATACACATGCAGAGAGAGGGAGAGACAGATAGATAAAGAGAGATAAAGACACTAGTCATGGTTAACATAAGTCAAATACTGCAGGTCCTGCACTCTTTAGCAATAATCTGGTCTCTAGAGTGTTTCATCCCAGCTAGAACCTCTATTACTACTTAAGTGTGCAATTATCACCCAAACAAAATACAAGGTACTGGCCACGTTGGACACCACCCCACTTGCTCAGTCTGTGCACCCATCAGAATTCATCAAAAAGTGATGTTCTTCCTGTCTTAGCATTCCAAATTCCATGCAAACAGTAAGAATATCCAAAGGACTAATCCTTAAATAGGAATTTAAGGCATTAGTCTGTCTTAGTCCTAGATAAGAGATCTAGATTCTCCTGCTGCCTCTGCAGGAGCTAGCGGTGTCCACGCTGCTCCAGGTACTCTTGCATTCATCATGCCTTCTGCCCAAACTGGGGCTTCACGTGGAACTTCTTTGGAAATAGTTAAGACACAAGAACATAGAGATTTTTGTTTAGATTAAACATGTTCCCATGCCACTGCCCAACACAATCTAACCCACTGAAAAAATATGCTGTAACTCAAGTGGTACACAGACCTTGTTATTCTGAAAGCTCCATCTACCGTTAGCTAACAACTTCATCTCAAGAGTACCGTGCTGCAATGGGACTGATGACAGCTAACAACAGCTCCAAAGAATTTCATCTTTGGGTAGAAGTGATCTTCTACTACACTACTTAATCATTAGCTGTTGAATTTCATCGCAAAAACATGTGAAGATTCATTTGGTTTAGTCTTACTAAATGAATTTCTTTTGCATATAAGACACTAAATTGACTCTGCAATTTTCCATTAAGCTAGAGAGAATTTTCTAACTGCCATGTGCTATTCTCACTGCAAGTTCAGAAGAAAAAGATGAACTGGAGTTAGGGCAACACATAATTGAAAACCTTGTAAGTGCAGAGAAAAACACATTTAAGCAAAAGGAGGTGAATCAGAGAACTCTTTTACATTTCCCAATCAGCATGGCAAAAATTAAACACTCTGGCACAGAGCAGTTAGGTTACATGAGTTGCTTCAGCAAATTATTGCCTACTGTACATCACATTGTACATTGGCTCCTACATAGTACAAGGTTTCTACCAAAGATTTCCATCAAAGTCACAGTTTGTGACTTTGGAGAACACCTCAGCATAGAGGCTGAACTACAAATAAAATATTTTCAATGTAAAGAGTTCAGCCAAGTTTCCATCAAAAATCTGAATCTGACCTTTTTCTCTCTCTCTCCTTCCCTTCAGTAAACATCCACAGACCAAGGAATATTGACCTTTATTACATTTGGCAGGGAAATTCTACCTCAGCCTCCGGCCCAGTGCAAAGGGGACTGACAATGTGCTGCCAATCTGGCATCTTGGAGATGCAAACACGCTGCGTCCATGCACCCTTGTGCTTTGCAAAGGAGAGATGAGGCTGAACTAGAATTGAGCTGTCATGTGAACAAATATTAACTAAATAAGAATGTTTGTTACTCTGCATAATAAAGCGCAGATTCCAGTGAGCTTAGAAATGTCAGTCTGCCCTCTGAGAGCTTAAAAAAATTTTTACTAAAAGTTTTAAGAAGATCCTGAAGTAAATACCAAACAAAAGGCCTGAGATAACTTCCTTGGAATATTCACCTTCAGTTCTAATGAATTTTTCATAGATAGGAGGACAAGACCGAGCTCAAGAAACTGAAAAGTAATTCAGGATTAAAAGTCGGGAAATCCATCCGGTTCTGCATTCACCCCACCAGTCTTCCTGTGAGGTTCAGAAACACTGACCACTGGAGCTGCCTCTCCAGCAGCCTTACGAAGCCTGTTCCAGCATCCATGTGCCAACACCTATTCCACTTCATTCATTGCCTATATTTAGGATCAGCTTTAAGATAAGTGCTGACATAGTAATGAAACACAAAACCAAGAAAAAACAGGGCAGTGAAAGAGCTGAAGCCAAAATAATGTCATGCCATACAATAAACTTAAAAGAAGATATAAAAAATTTAAAACTACTGTTACATCTTTACAAAGATAGAAGCCCAGGGAATTAAAAGATCAGTATGTTGAGCAGTGACTTGTATCCAAAGCATGACCTATTCAATATTAAGTGCTCCTATTTTTCGTCAGGAAAATTAAGGAAAGCTCCACAATATGAGAGAAGTTTAATCCTTATTTGATCTACACTGCTGAACTAATCATTATCTAGAGATGTAGGGCAGTACCCATTTCTTGATTTAGCTTAACTAATGGTCGACTGGATAGCTTTCAAGTTGACTAAAAAATACATGTCAAATGACAAAAGAAGACAATTCTATCCCATACTATGAGGGCTTGGCCTAACAAATAAGCCTTACAATTTGCATTGCTATGACAGTATTTACATTCTTTCATTGATGTAAGTGACAGGCTTTGGATATTATCAGTATTAACAATACAGGTGGTTTTGCCTTCTCCGGCACAATGAATATATTTCATATTTATGGAAATTATTGTTTCTTTTAGAAAAAGAGATGGACAAGGATCGTAACCAATGCATTCTTATAAATATCCACTGCCAGAAATTTTTTCTTCCTGATGCACTGAACTAGAGCAATTAGAGTTTAGACAATATCTGATGTTAGACAGAAAGTGGCATGAACTATTACCAAAATAGCTGAAATTGGCACAGATCAGAGAAATCCTGCAGAAAGAATGCTGGACAAAGCAGCAATTTTTGCGAGTCTTTGTCTCATTTAACACTTTAGCCCAGTGATCAAGGGAGGATTCGTTCCCTTTTTGAGCGCTCATGTAGAACGTTGAGAACCAGGACATTTGGTGCGCAGATGGTACCAGACCACCGCGGCTTCCAACTCTGATAAAAGATGCAGTGGAACACTGATTAATCCTGCTCAGAGCATCTCATTTCCCTGTGGGTACCTCATATGTAGCATTTGAGCAGGCAAGTAAAGCCTTACATCTCTTGTGAGAGAAACCATCAGCAAATGGGAGTGAACTCAACTCCTCTGAGTGCTTTTGGAGTGAAGGGTGAGAGATCGAAGGCTGAAACCACCAGTGCAATTCTGCTGAGATTTATGAAGACATCAACACCCCTTCAAAGACATGGCATCAAAAGCTGAGCAATCTGAAAGATCAAGGGCCTACACTTATTCTAGTACATCAGAGATTATTGTTAACATCATAAATTTGGCTGATCAACTTAAAAAGGGATTGAAAGGGGCCAACCGAATTCCAAGTGCCATACAAGCTAGTTAATCAAGCCCTTGTGAAAATTCACCTGAAAATGGTAAGCAAGACAGTAACTGCAAAACTAGAAATAAGACACTTAACTGAGTGCAGCCTGTCACACCTTGCAAAGATGCCTGTAATTTCAAAGACCAGCTTTAAATTTCCCACTCTTTTCTCTTCTGGAAAAAAAATACATTCTAGCACAGAAAGAACAGGGTGACTATGGTAGGCCACAACCTGCATCTCCTCCAGCACCTAGGATTT